AATAGAATCTTCATTCATAGCTACAGGTATACTCTCACAGGCAACAAGGTATGCCTATGCTCGCTGCTGAGGTTGGGGGACCTGGTTGTCCAGATGCCTGAGACTAATCCATATGATAATATAAAAGCAGCTGTAATTCAACTCACATCAGTCTCGGATGAAAAAAGACTACAATAATTATTAACGTCATTCGAGTTGGGAGACAAGTGACCACCACAACTGTTAAGACACATGGAACAGCTGGCAGGTGCAGATAAGCTAGATGAAACCCTGCTAAAACAAATGTGGTTTCAAAACCCACCACATAATATAAGACAAATCCTCAGAGTATTAGCAAACTCAGTTAACCTCCACGTTTTAGTAGATTTGGTTGATAAGATGACGGAAATTTACCCAGACAGCCATTGTGTTAACTCAGTACAAGCCGCCGGTACAGAGGATACAAACGGCACAGCCAACTTCAAACAGCCTCTATCGGAACTGACATGACAACTGGTATCACCAACAAGCCAGCATTGCCACGATACACTCCCGACGAGCCAGATCATTTTCCAGACAGCATTCCAAGTCATCTAACCGGACCACTGAAATTTGTTGATAACTTCAAAGATATGACGCAAAAGCACGGCGTTGCACATAACCGTGGACGTTTACTCCAAACAACAACATGAGTTCACGAAACGAGCCGGCCAGACAATGATGGCGGCGCCTGTTACTGGCCACAACTCGAACCGTATATTTCACAACAGGGATCGTATTTCTGGCTCAGACATTTTAGTCGACACGGGAGCAGAAATCAGCATCTTCCCACTCCATCTCCCACGACGACGTCACACCATGAGTGATAAATTGTCATTCATTGTGGCCAATGAAACAGTGATTAAACCTTATGGAGAAAAATCGCTCATTTTAGACCTCGTACTCCGAAGAAGATTCACGTGGGTGTTTAGAGGTGCCTAAGTCAAACAACCTACTCTCGCAGCCGATTTTCTCAGCGCTTATGACCTATTGGTAGATATGAATAAAAAGAAGCTAATCGACGAGAACACACGTTTACAAGTTAGTAGTACGATCACTACAAACTATGAAATTCACGGTGTCTGTATGATAAAACCTGTGAATGAAATTTTCACTGACATCTCGTCGAAATACGAGTGCATCAAAAGAATCTATTATCAAAACGAACGCACCGAACATCATGTACAACACCACATTGCCACTTCTAGGCAACCAATGTGCTCTAGAGCCGCGAAGGCTGCAACCACACAAGTTAACGATTGTGAGACCAGAATTTGAATACATGATGCAACTAGGCATCATTTGGCAACCTAGTAGTCCACGGGCTTTGCCTCTAAATATGGTTCCAAAGAAAGACCAAGACTGGCGCCCATGCGGAGATTACCACCGTTTAAATAAACAGACCACTCCAGACAGGTACTCCATTACTCGCCTACATGACTTTTCTGTGGACCTACACGGAAATTAGATCTTTTCGAAACTAGACCTTGTAAGAGCATAGAACCAAATTCCGATGGCACCTGAAGATATTGAAAAAACAGCCACAAACACACATTTTGGTTTGTTTGGAATCTTGAGAGTGCCATCCGAACTATATGAAAACACTGCACAGACATTTCAGAGATTCATGGACGAGGTTACAAAAGGTTTAGACTTTGTATTTGTTTATGTCGACGATGTTTCGATTGCTAGCTCATCCACGGAAGAACATTTACACACCCTCTCCGATCGTTGCAAACGTTATGGCGTTGTGATTAACCGTTCAAAGTGCATATTCGGTGTCCCAGCTCATGAGGTTCTGGGACATTACACTGACTCTCAGGGAATTAAACCACTACAAGTAAAAGTAGGAGCTATTGTCAATTACCCTGAGCCTAAGTTAGTAAAATCATGACGTCGGTTCCTTGGGATGTGCAATTTTAATCGATGTTCGCTCCCTAACTGCGCTGACGTTACAATCTTTGACAGACTTACTGAAGATAGATAAAACAGTAGCGAATCCCAAGAAAGACACCTTCACGTTACCTCCCGGAGCCAAAATTGCCTTAGATTAAGCAAAATCCAAGATATTATAACGCTACCATGTTACAACAGCTAAACACTGATCCCACGACTCACCTGATCCTCTGCGACTATGCATCTCAGAAAGCTGTATGGACAGTATTGCAACAGCATGTAAACGACATGATTACACCGAGAGCGTTCTTCTGTGAACAACTATCGCCAACCCGTTAGAGCATATTCGGACGCCAGCTACTAACTGTGTATTTAGCAGTAAGGCATTTCAACTTTCTACTACAAGGACGCGATTTCACTATAATGACTGATCATAAATATTTATGCTGCTCTTTCAACACATCGTAGGACAGTTACTCACCACATGAAGTTCAACAAGACACAGAAGATAACACTGCAGATAAACAATACCTCCCACTCATTACTGCGAGACCAGAGTGGGTTGAGAAACTCAGCACTAAGCCTACTTGTTTAACACGTTCAGGTAGAATCGTAAAGAAACTTAAGCGTTGTGTCCACTTCGTTGAATAGTAAAATCAGAAGAAACATTCACTGATATAAATTAAACTGTTAAATGTACTCGATTTTTGAATAGAATCTGTTTTTTACTTTTCTTCACACGTGAATATAATTAATTACATCTCTCCACATTTTTTCAAAGAGGATTTTGCCACAATAATAAACGAGTGCATTGTAGTCAATTATTTATTAATTGTACATAAAAATAAACAATGCAATTTTTTTAGTGAGTTTATCAACAGTTTTGCACTCTATTAATTATTAGCTGACTTAGACACTGACCATATTTTCATTCTTTCTGTTGTGATCGTGTACATTTATGTACATTAACACTTTGTATATTACTGGCACGTACTATATTCTTGCATTTTTGTTTGTTACAACCCAGGTTTACTCACAGAAAACTGTGGGGGAGAGTTATATGCAGATAGGCATAGCAAATCTATTTTGAAATGTAAAACCCAAACTAAGGTTTGGTTGAAGAATATTTGTCTCGGTATTTAGATACGCGATATTCTCAATTGAGATCAAAACAAGGGGATTGAGGGAATAACGGTTCTAAATTTCATCACAAATCCTAGGTTTATTTTAAACGTTATGAAGAACGCAGCCTAGCAATTTTCGCACTTGAAATGCTTTCGTGGAGATATGTTTGAAGAAGTTAAGATTGTGCAATTAATGCACCCGAATGTCAATTAGTGATTTGAGTTTCGGCAGTACGTTTTCGTCAGGTGTTAGTTTTATTTAAAGAAACTTGACTCCAAAGCTCAGTCAGCCGCATTCCTCTGTGTTGAGCTCCAACCTTCAGCGCTCACACCAGTTATCTACCTTGTTGAGTTTATGCAGGATTGTTTGCGTAGTACCACATGCATCGCTGACGTTAGCTTTAAAGTTAACGGCGTGAAGGTAGGTCTTATCCTTGTAAAGCACTTGCATATATTGTTGGTGTAGGCTGTAAAAAGCTATAGAAACAGGACAGCACTCTGTACAACACTGGTTATCTGTTGAAATGTAGTTTTTGTAGAGTCAATCTTAGTCACTTGGTATCCGTTCGTGAGAGAATAATCCATTGCAATAAAGGTCTAGCAATTCCAACTGACTGAAGTAATAATTGGGAGGTTATGAAATACCCTGACAAAATCTTGATATCGAAGTATAGTATAATCTCTAGGTGCTTTTGGTCACTTATACGAGTAACCCCAATCAAGAAATTGACTCAGGCATGTTCTACAAGAGCTTGCTCTAATAAAGTGTTTTGACGGGTGGACTAGACTTCCTTCCAGTAGATGATCAGATAATTGGTCTTGTGTCACATTTTACATTATGTATGGTATTTTTGAATCTATGGTTCTGAATCAGGTTTTTGGGACAACATACATGTGTATTTGCTCTTAGGAATAGTATGAATATATTAAGTGGGAGTGTTAGTATGTCCGGTCCTGCCGTTTTGTAAAGGATCGATGGAGTATATTCCGCACAACTTGCAATTTGGCTAAGGTATATCGATGGCGGCTGGTTCATTTGATATTAGTATCTGGGGCATGAGATTTATTCCCGTTGTGAGAAAACCATCCACATAGCAGTTCACAAATAACAGTTTGGTCATAGTACGCCACACAATCGTCTAGTATGAAGTGAATGTTGTGATCTATACTCTTTCCTATGTCCTTTTTAAGGTGAAAAGGGTCTTGAGATTTAGATACGGTAATAAACGCAGCACATTTTTCTGCTTGCTTAGGCTTTTTACTCTGACTTTGAACAGAGTATATTTGGTGCACGATAGGGAAGTATATTAATATACAATACATCCTTTTCAGTTTTCGTAGCTTAGCCCCAGTTTTTTGGTTGATATAAGGATTTATTGTTTTGGAACCCATTTCGGAGGAGATAGTAGTATCTAGTGGTGATATTGAATATTCCTAGCGTTTCTGAAAGCTTATCACTAATAAAAGAAATTACCCAGTTAGAGTGCTTTACTATAAATCAAAATTTTTCCCAGTCTGCGTGTGCATAGTTCTAAACTGAAAACGCGTAGCTATTGTCTTGAATGTGTCGTATTCTGCCGGAAACGGTAGAGTGCAGAGGACTATTTTATGATCGCTGTTATGAAACCTTTCGCCAATCACTTGTTATATCTTGTGATCGAGTGGATGCCCAAGTTAATGTGTGACGTGCTAAGACCACCGATCGCAGAATAGTTTAGATTGCTTATCGATCCTGCTTCTGCTTAGCCCAGCCAGTTAAGTCCATAACACCAATAACAGCCTCTGCGGTATGAATCATTGTATTTCAAGCATACTGAGTTTATATACCAAATAGACTGACCACATCGTACCAATAAAATAGGAAATAACATTTGCACACGATTCAGCCAAATGTGGCTGTGAATATGGGAGGCAGCCATTAATAGACTAGGGATAACTCAAGGATGGTAAATTGTATGATAATAGTTTATAGGTCAAAATAAAGCCTATAATAAGGGGAACACGAATATGAATAGTTTAGTTATTTAGCAATTATACGATAAAAAATATATGCATAATACTGGTCCACAAATAGATCCCAAAGTTACCATTCAATATTGTTATCAGGATATAACATCACTACAGTTGTCGGTGTGATATTGTGACAGACTATCAAGTTGGGAGTGTTGTGGTTTCGTGCAGGCAGGTTTACATATTGATACCAACATCGGTTGTTTAAGGAACTTAGTATGCTTACACAGCACAGCAGGCCAGAGTGTGTCTTCCAGTTGGTGCTTGAAAGGTTGAAATCACTGAAAAAAATTTCCAAGCGAAATCAAGGGAGACAGCCCTAGCAAATGACTCACAGTAGTGTAAGTTGAACTAGGATTGTTTGGAGCTGAATATATATATATATATATACATACAACTAGCATTTCACATTCGTATCGAATCAGGCAGTTTGCTGAGGACAGCATTGCCATATATTTTCGCTCACACATTTAGGTGCGTATATATAATAACCACTGCTCTCCTTAGTGAATAGATCACAGCGGAAGAGCTCATCGGTGTTAATTTGAAGGTATGAGTCTGTGGTATCGGAAGATAACTAACTTTTTGTTATCCATATAAGTGATGGTTTGTTTAAAAATAACAGGGTGCGTAAAGAAGTCGTTTTGTACAGATCGGGGATTGATTAACATTGATGTCAGTTACGGTGAGTAATCGTCTGATAAAAGGGTGTGATGTAAACCTAGTGGGTTGTTTGTTTTGTCATGGAGTGAAGATGAAGAAGTAGGAACATCGGCTTTGTATTCATGTTTGATTTATTATCAATATGGCTAATAGGAGGAAGGTAGTCTGAGCGTAGTTAGGCGAAAGAAGCATGTTAAGGAGTGAAGACCAATACAGTGTCTATCAACGTCTAGTCGCATATTTTTCGGCACTAAGTTCCTGCTTAGTTATGAGCTACCGAAATTTTGCGAGTTATCGCACCAGATCTGTATTCCTCGAAATATAGTTTCGATGGGATTGTTTTTTGCAGCTGGTTTCTTTGTGTCCTTGCGGTGGTATCAAGCGAAACACTAGTATTCATATGGGCGGGATTTCGTAACGTATGTTGCAGAAAATTGCGTTATTTCTAGTAATTAGCTAGCAATAGAATCGCTAACAAATACTGTCTTTTTAATGTCTCCATGATCAGTAGGGACCACAACCTTCGCCAATAGTAGCTTAAGTGGTGATAAAGCCTTTATTTCTTGCTTAAGATGGAGAACCTTCACTTTAGGAAGCATATCGCTCATAGATGCTGTCTAATTTATCATTTACATAATTTACGCTATTGCATCTTAATGTGGAACTCGTAAGTAAATTAGATAGAGATAACCGTCCGACCCTAACATTCTCAGTTGAAACAGGAGTTGCTATTATTCGAAGCATTAAACCATTTCCGGGTTCGTTTGTTCGATAAGCGTCCCATTTTGGTGAGTGTTAATCCTAGAGTTATAGATGAAATGCGTTGCGAAAAATTAAAGAACAAAATATGGGCCAGTGTTAATTTTTATAGAAATAAGGAAGTTTGATATTAGACAAGAATCGGAAGGACAAACAACATGAGGAGTCGAGATACCCGACTTACCCATAACATTCAACTTGAAGTTTGTTCAATAAGTTTATATATTTCTGACATTCACCCACATTGATGGAACCAGAATCTTGAGAACATGCACACAATTGCTATGACCATCGTTAACATGTCAAAATTTGTGAAAAGAAAAATTTACTAATCTAATATAGCATTATTTATTTGACGATGATGGAATGAACAAAAAGTGTTTGTTAATGAATTCAGACTTGATTCACTTTGACTTTGACAACATGTGCGACAAACTGATCTGGCACAGTTTAAACTCTAAAATCGTAATTAAAAGAATACTCATTAGACTTCAAAGACATTTCAAAATACAAGGATAAAAAGTATAATTGTGGATATACGATACCACTAATATGATGAGACGAACACAACTAAACACACCCCTTGAAGTTCAATGCGCAATATGGATGTAGTTCAATAGCCTTGTTAAAATTTAATCACACGAGACTAATATTCCACCATCAAAACAGTTATGCAACAATGCGTTTGCGGTTTTAGGAACGCGTTCTAGTATAAAAAATTTACCACTACTTAGCTCTATAAATCGAATACCGTGCAACCGTTATCACATTTTTTCCAGGTACCTTGAAAAAACCAATATTTTGTAAAGTAAACAAATAGTTATATCATAGTACTACTGGGTATTTGTTGATGGATTTTCATAGAATAGCCTTTTTCAGCTTCCCAATAAATTATCTGAATCGACTGTTTTCAAAGAGCATGAGAAAACTTAATACTCTCAGTAAACTCGCAAATAATTTCTAAATACAGCAGTCTATCTCTAAATGACTTACTTTCCGATTCTTGTTGCAAATAAAACATATGAGCTTTCCCTCAACGATTGCTAACTTCTTAGCAAGTTTAACCTCTTTCTTTGAAGCTTTCCGGTTACGTCTTTGCTCCATTAACATGATTTTTTTCGCAGATACATTGCTGTCAACCCCATGAAAATCCGACCCGTTAACTGCTTGCATCGAGATTTCAACTTTCGCTTGTTCTGAAAATGTAATCGGTCGCTCATAAGGTTGACATAACCAGTGAGGATGGGGCAATTCACTTGAACTGTTTTGCACACACGACTACCCGAACAAAACCGAGAAATAAGACGAAATTAATTTTACTTGAAAGGACTAGTGTGCACATGTTTCTCTCAAAATCAATATAAAGCTAACCAAAAATAGTCTCTGTGGTCCTTTCATTGCTAAGAGTATGTACGTTCAATTTGGATTCGTTTATTCTTGCCGATTACAAACTAATGTCGAACATAAAAAAGTAATTAATCAACTTCGTAAATGTTTACGACTTACTTAGATTGAAGCCAAGAAAGAGCATACAAGTTCCCCTGGAAGCAAAGAACTGTTTCAGCGTAAGCTCGGAGATATAGATCAGCGACTTCAAAGTGTAAAGACGCCAAATGAACCTATTAAGATTGCTTATTGGAAGATACTTTCGTTACTATTGATGAACTTGATTTATAGCATAACTCCGAGGTATTTATTTGAGAACGACCTTTCTTTTTATCCTATTATTAATAATTTAGCACATACAGATTCATGTGCTTGGTTTTGAGCCACACTGTAATTGGGGGTTGGGCTAGTGATCTACCAGGTTGCGCAAACCGAAATAGACGCATAGAGATTCAAACCAAGGAATTCGTAACTGGCAGTAAAATCCGTTGATGGTATGACGGAGGAAAACCAGTCCCAACAGTTAGGTCTTGGTAGTTTGGAGGGTGAGTGAACTATAGACTAATTTCCTCAAATCACCGATGAAGTTATTTGTGTTCATGTTTTGCATGTGAGTACATCATTTTACTGTATGAAAAAAATTATTTTTGCTAGTGGTTTCTTCTTTGATTTCATATTTTTTGAAGGTTAATTGAAAAGCCTCCACTAGGCCATTTATAATCACTGCAGGTTGTCAATCGACTGGCCATGTTTTTTCTTTCATTTTAGCAACCCATAAAATCGTATTTCATAAATTATAACCAATTAGCCACCATCTTACAATTGAACTTTGAGTTTATTTATATCTATATAATAATTTTGGGCTTATGACCGTATAAATGCGCTCACATAGTCGATTAAGAAATTTGTAGATATATATATGCACTGCAAAAATCTCATTTGATTTGTGTGAGGGCTGTGATACTACCCAGGTGCCCAGACTGAAGCAGGTGGTTTTCTCAGGAGGGCACACACCGAGCCTCTGACCTAAAGGTCTGATCCACAAGGCAGTGGAGCATCGTGAGGTGATGCAGTCCCATGGTAGCCGGTGACCAACGATTGATTCATACGCCATTTGTTCCCTCAGGATACTAGAGCCCATGTGCACCATTGGTTTGGAATCAAGGTTTTCCAACTCCCCTAGGTGGACTTTCCGTGTCCACCGACCCGGTTAAAGCGCCGGACGTTCGCTTCTCGTCCTCTCAATTTCGTAAACAACACTTAAATAGTCACAGAAATAATAAAATACAGCCTAGTTATGCTCGGAACGTGTAAGACCCACCAAACCTAATCCGAGCGAAAAAAAACTAACTTCAGGAGAAATGTTATTGTATTCTGGTTATGAGGAACAAAATCCTCCACACAAGCAAGAGGTTGAGCTGATGTTGTCCAGAGAAGCATAGTACATGGATACATTTTTGGGTGATATCGACTGGTACAAGGAAACAAGGATAGTATACCTAAGTGTTTTCAAATACATGTTCGTAGGCAGCAGCATTTTCATGCACAAATGCGTACAAAAAGCTACGTGGACTTTTCAGAGCAGTACAAAACCCAAAAATCACAACTCTATATCGTCATTACGAACCCTTGATATCCTCCAATAAATTCAAAAACTGAACAAAATTAAGACCCTATAGTGAGGTTGTGCGTCAATACGTTTATTATTTAGTAGATGCTCAAGCTGGCTTTTATAAGAGAGATAATTAGCCGACGAGATCGTGACACCACTAATCATTCTGGAAGGACCAATTGGATGGAACTTATCACTGTGGATCAACTTTCTTCATTATGAGAAAGCATTCGATATTGTGAACAGAAGAACCCTATGGAATCTTCTCAGACACTATGGAATACCTAAGAACATCGTCAACAACATATGAATTTCATACGACAGATTAAAACTAAAAAGTGTATGAATGGCAGCTCATGGATGAGTTCCAAGTGAGAACTGGTGCCAAACAAGACTGTCCACATTCACATACTCTCTTCCTGCTAGCTGTTGACTGGACTATGAAGACCTCCACATCTTAGGAAGAGCACGGAATGCAGTGGACTCCTAAGTACGCAGTTGAATGATTTGCAATTTTTAGATGACTTGATCTTGCTAATAAATACACAGCAAAAAGTCCAGACGGAGATTACCAGTGTAGCAGGGGCTTCGTCCGAAGTAGGCCTCGACATTTACAAGGGAAGAAGCGAATCTTGAAATACAATACGGCGAGTACCACTCGAGTCTCATTTAATGGCGAAGCTCTAGAAGAAGTGGGAGTTTTAAGATACCTGTGCAGCATAATTGACAGACAAGGAGGATTCGATACATATGTTAAGGCACGAATCGACCAAGCAAGTGTAGCATTCCTATAACTGAAGAATATCTGGGACTCAAGAATACTGTCAGTCAAGACTAAAGTCAGGATTTTCAATACTAACGTCAAGTCAGTTTTATTGCACGGAGCTGAAACTTGCAGAAATGCCGCAACCATCATCGAAAAAATTAGGTATTTATAAACAGCTATCTGCGCAAGATACTACATATCCAATGGTCAGAGTTCATCTGCAATAACACACGCTGGAAGAAAACAGACCAGATCCTAGTTGAGGAGCCAGTAAGAAAAGATTTTGGTTGTGGGTTGAATACACTTTACGTAAACCATGAAACTGCATCACGGACCAACCCCCATCTCGGAAGTCTCAAGCCGAAAGAAGAGACAAACCAGATGACATATGGCTCTGGGAATCGGAAGCGGATATCAGGACAATGAATAGGGTTTAGCAACAAGTGGAAAGTAGTTGGTTGGAGATACGTGATTAGTGGACTATGCTCCAAGAAGAGTATCAGGCATAAGTAAATAAATTAGTCACAACGTAACGAAACATTTGCGTGATCATGAACTGTGAGGTATCTGGGATTTTTTTAATCTAAACTTCATTTTTTCTTTTGATGTGTTCGCCATGCATTATTGAAATTGTTTGTTTCTATTCTGGTCTTATTTAATATATGGTTAACAGTCCATTGCATTAGGGATATGTGAGTTATAATACTATAGATGCCAATTAGTTTGGATAAATTACTACTAATTTCCAAAAACGATTTACTCACTGAGCATTGATTTGCCATCTTTTGTAATATTTCTTTTATTCCCTTAGTTGATTGAGAGGTCCCAATCAGTGAACGATATTCAGAATGTTCGTCCAATCTATTTGTCAAAAAAAGTAATGACAACCTTTAAGATTCATAGAAAAACTAAACGTTTGTTCATCTATATAACTGCAAATCGCTGGATAAAAAAGGACTTTGTGGCTGAACACTGATGTAAGATAATAAAAACCCATACAACAGATATTAACAATTAGCTACGCAGCGTCCAATAGAAGTAATGATTAGTGATAAAAATACAACTTGTTTTGAAGAGAGTTGACAAACATAATGGTCATTTTCTTAAAATTCAATGCTTAATCTGTTGTGCTTAGTACAAAAACGTGACTACACTATGAATAGGCATGATCTTCCTGTTTTAGCAATTTTTGTTCTTTTGACTCGCCAATAAGAAATATTTAATGAGTACTTAAAACCAATTTACACACCTCTCAACATCCATGACTTCGAAAGCGAGTTAAAACTGGATAGCGATTTATAGAACTTACACAAAGGTTGTCTTTTGCTGACCAAGTGTTTGAATTAGTGTAAATAACCATGGGCAAATACCTAAATTATATTGTTTTTTTAACACAACAATAACTGTGCTTATAAATCATATTATAGTAAATTTCATTTTCTTGATATTGGTATTCAGCCCAATTCAAATGGCCAAACAGAAAAATCTATTCATCAAGAAGGCATTTGTGGTAGGCTTTACTTAGATTTCAATGATTTCTGCCCAATAAACTACAAAAGGGTTTTGGTTAGAACACTATTTAATCATGTACTGAAACTATTCAGAAGAGAAAATTGAAGAATTAACTGTAATTGAGAAGTGTTTGGAGTTTATCAGCAAGTATGAGATAAGAAACTGATACAACCATCATCAAAAAGGTACAAGTATATCTAAACAATTGTTTGCACAAGATACTGAATGTCCGTTTGTGGGATACCATCAGTAACAACCTACTATGGCAGAGAACAAACCAAATTCCAGCTGAAGAGGAAATTAGGGAAAGATTCTGGAGGTGGATAGGAAACCATCAAACTTCATCATGAGGCAAGCCCTAACCTGGAACCCTGAAGGCGAAAAGAAAAGAGGGAGGCCCAGGAACACATTGGATTGAGAATTGAAGGGACAAATGAAAAGAATGAATAATAATCAGAATCAAATGGAAAGGAAAACGCAGAACAGAGTTGAAGAGTCCTAATCAGCGACTTAGGCTCCTCCAAGAAGGGTAACAGGAGTAAGTAAGTAGTCGATAAGCAGAGTTTTAGGCTTAGCAACTATGAAGCTCATCATCATTCGGAATGAGTAAGCAATTATTGAAGCGTTTAAGGACCAAATCCAAAAATATTTTGGCCACATATTGCGACACGTTATAACTTTAGGTCTTAGTAATGGATGAAAAAAATGCACTCACGCATGATGACATAGTTTAAAGATATGTCCTCTGATTATTTGCATGGATGTTGGGTACTTCTCCACTAAGTCCAAATATTCAAAACACATGTCGTAGATACATGGTTGGATTCCTAGGAATAAAGCTGGGTTGTGAAGATGACCCTCTAAAAGAAAGAAAAGTTCAAACAAGTGAGACACATAAAAAATATATACATAAATGATAGGGACAGCTGATCTAGTTTTTTTATTTGTAATTAAAGTAATATTAAATTAGACAACTTTCTATGCGTCTAGAATATTTAGTCGGTCAACCATGTGCAAAGTAGAATCTGACATGTGTGTACACGAGTCATGGTTTCTACACCACATTAGCACACCAAAATGATACTATCAGGGAAAATCCCAGAGTACTACATGTGGTAAAAGTACTGGTGGCGGTAGAAGAGAATAAGCAGAAGCGATATTATTCGATAAAAATATGAATTGGTGGAATAATATAAAACAATAACCTAGGAAGTTAGGACCTAAACAAAGGGAAGATGTGAATGCATCTGCGCCGTGGCGAACGAAGCTGAGCCATATCACCCAAAGTCTCTAAACAATATTTATAATAATCCCACGCACCCCAACCAGGTTGTGTTGAACTAACTGCACAGTTCAGTCCAACTGTCGTTGACTTCATGGTCTCGTGCCACGTTTTTCGATTGGCCATCCTTATCTGTTCTTAAACCCAATTCCACAACATCTATCATAGCGCGTCGACAATATAAGTGGACGGCTAACCCCATTCATTACACTCACTAGATATTCCCGACGCCTGAACACCCAGCTTTTCGTAGAAGAGCAGATAGCATCCCATAAAACTGATTCTTCGCTTCATTTAAATCACAATGAAGAGACAATGTATCCCTATCTCCCCGACTTTTGTTATCTCATTTAGTCGGACAACACACAAGCGACTGTCTACCAGAATCTAGCCCAGGAGGACCTGTTCTGCTTTTAAACATAGTGCTGTACCTACACCAACGAGGTATCCAGATACATATGGTAAATCGCACTGGTGAGGTTGTGTTCAAATGGATTACCACATTTAAATTCTGTACGCACGTTTGGGAGACACAACACACATTGATAGCGCGATATTATAGAGTTCTAGCTAGGGAAGTTTGTGATAATATTTGACATACGGTTTGAACACTAAAAGCTCCGTGTAGTTTAGAACGGTTTCATAAAATTAGAAATAAAATTTCGGGAACTTAGTCCTTGAACACTGATGGGACATGAGGATAAGGGTTGATAGTGGGGATGGAAGTTGAGATTTATGTGGTCGACCTCTTCTAACCCATTCCTTTCGCTGTGAGGCGATATCGCTCCAGATCCTTGCTTCCGTCATGCCTCTGTACGGTCGGTATTATGACTTCGCCCTCGGACCATGAGTTTGTTGCTTCAAGTTTTACTGTCCTCCAGCCGACCTGCCCGGCATAGTGGAATCTAAAGGAACAAGTGTTCCAGAAAATTTAACTCAGTCCAGGTAATTACGGTAGACAAGCCTGACCACCACGTCATGGCAGTACCTATGCCTAGGGGGGGTACTTAGTGACTGCTAGGGAAGGAATTTACATGCATATTAATTCAGTTATGTACGAACCCAACAGTCATCAATTCGAGTTTTATTGACTGAGTAAATGTCACTGAACACAAAATCATAGTGAAATAATTATTGCAACGAAATCCATTGAGAACCACATAGCTAAATACAAATGAAATATACTGAAAGTTGATGAACAGAATTCATGGAAAATTACTGAAGTTAACTGAGAGAAAAGCACCTTACCGTTAAAGTCTCTCATACGTTGTATTTGGAGATATACCATTCCTAAACAATAAATGGAGCTGAAAGTTAACTCGTACAACCTACGTCGAAGACTTGAGATACTCGTAATTTGTTTCTACTTGGGCAGTATCATGGCCCTCATACAATTAAAATGAAATGACAATTTTTGTGTGGCGCATACATATCTGGTGACCCCTTGTAATAATATTTATGTGTCCAAATAAAATAAAAATCTACTTCGTCTTACAAATAACAAGTCTTTTAGCCTTAAAAAGACTATTCATTAGCTAGCTAATGATGAAATCTTAACACAATGCTATAGGTTCAACGTCTATTGCAGTACGACAGGTGTATTTGTCTTTCATTCTATTTCAAACGAATCATTACTCCTTACTCATTCGTTGTGTATTCACTCGTTTCTTATTTATTTAACATAATAATACTCCACCTCAGTTGGATTTCAAATTATCTCTAGAGCTCGAATTTATGCATTGTTAAGTTATGCTTAGGTAAGGAGCATGAAACACGAGGCACCAAAATATATTGCTTAAAAATGAATAAAATCAGAAAAAAAGATTAAAGTGGTACGTTCCGCAAGAATTTAATTCCGAGATAATAGTAATTAAAGCTAAGATATACTTTTTACGTCAGATACATTAACATATTGAGAAAACAGGAGATAGACGGGGCTTACAACCATCACTAGCCAAAAGAAAGTAATGTGTAAAAGAAAATCTAGTGTCTGCGAATTCCATTTAAGTAGTTTATCGATTTTCATCCTAGCGATATACTAGAAACTAACCATATGGCGAACTGTAGCTCTAAAGAAATGCATTTCAAAAAATGAAATAAATAACATTTTGGATATACAGAAACCTGCACTCATAACTGCATCGGCTTTTGTTGAGTCCAAACACTGATGGACATCTGACAAATACTGAATATTTCCATTGGCAATAACAGGTATTTTTACTGCTTCTCTGAAAAAAAAAGGAAATAATCACATTGACAAACAGTGAAAGTAAATACAGTACACATTTGACATACAGTTAGATTGTACTAAGGACAGATAAATAGCGCATTATCTAAATTTTAATTTACGTTTATTAGATAAACCTGACCACTGAAAGGTGAATGGAATAAGAGAATTCCTAATGTAAATATTCAACTCCAGACAATGTAAGTTGAGATAATTCTTATGTATGAAATAATTGTGGAAACCATTTATGTCAAAAGTTTTGCACAACTGATAAAATAAACTTTGGATATGAAATATGAAGTTTGACTTTTCTCGTTTGACTACAACTGATGCTTAACTGATCTAGCAATTTGAAACAGAATGTTACTGACAGAGGTTTATTTGGTAGAAAAACTAATATTTGCTGCAACTCATGATACTAACTATTTTATATTTTGTATGTCTGAGTTCACATGATGGTTTGTTGAGGATTGTTAGAACTAGAAATAACCGATAAAATAAAGTATGGGTATTTCCAGTAGATAGAAATCAATACCACTTATTATATGCCACCAAAATTTAACACAATTTAAAGATGTATAAGGCAAGAAAAATATCTACAGTGAAAACTATCTTACACTATTATATTCGATATGAAATTGGTTAAACTCACTTTACTGCTCTAATTTGATTCCAGTCAGCTAGTCCAGTTTTTTGACCTTTCATTTCTCTGGTGCGTCCGTGAACTGTAAGCATAGAAGCCCCTGCAGCTTCGAGAAGTTTTGCATACTGAACAGTTCGCTCAACGTCACTAAAGATTCGGATTTTGCAAGTGACGGGAACATTAAGCTCTAACGAAGCGCGGCTAACTGATAAGTTGACAAATTGGGATAAGAAATAAATATTGACTTTTGATACGAATAAAGTGACATATAAAATACATATATTAAAACCATCACAATCGCGCAACAGCAAAGAAGACTTGACTTCATAATTTATGTGGTCATGGTAGAAACCGAAGACGACATGCTAACTATTAGTATTTTTTAGTATGAATCTTCTACTAGTTTAGTGGTCATTTTTATAATTTAAATTTTCTGCACTGATGCGGTATGGTAACTTGGACATATGCAAATATGATCCAGGTTCTCAGGTTGCTTATGACTGACGGTACGATTTTGAAAAAATACAGAGCAAACATTTTAATTTGGACAGCATTTTATTGATACATGTGTATAGATGTTCATTTTAACTCGATACATTTTGTATTTTCATGTTATACTCACTGAATTTATTTATTCAGTCAGTCAGTCAGTCAGTCACAACGTAGAACTTCGTACGTACGTACATCAGTTCGAGTTGCCATACCACATTAGCACACAGATGCAGTTGTCGATTCAAATCCCATAGTGGAAGAATTAGTAAGAGTATAAGCAGTAATCGGAAAGATTAGAGTTTGAAGATGTTATTGAAGGAGTATAGTACAGTGAAATATATTTGGAAGGAGAAAAACATAAAGACATGAGAAATTCAGAAGATTAGAATTTGGTAGAACACAAAGAGTGGATGCATCTTCGCCATTGCAAACGATTTTGAGCCATGTCATTCAAGGTCTCTAACCATCGGTTGCTATCATCTCGCGAATCCCAACCAGGTAGTCTACACTTTCCAACATGGCCCAGTCCACTTGTCAGTGACTTCATTGATTTGTGCCACGTTTTGGTCTGGCCACCCCTAGCTTTCTTCCAACCTACTCCTACACCATGAAACATTGCACGTCGGGGCAGTCGGTGGTCGGGCATACGTAACACATGTCCCAGCCATCTCAACTGATGATGTTTCACTACTTCATCAATCGATTTGCCATCCCTACCTAGTACTCGTTTCCTAACAACTGCATTACTTACCCGGTGGTCCCAGGATATACGAGCAATGCTTCGAAGACACCTATGATCGAACACTAGTAGCCTACGAATATCCTCTACTCTTACCGGCCATGTTTCACTTCCATAAAGTAGGACGGAACGAACTGCTGCACAGTAAACCCGTCCTTTGGTTGCTAGACGGATATCTCGCCTACGCCACAAATGATGCAAGTTGGCAAAAGCTAGACGAGCCTTCTGTATCCGTGCTGAGATTTCGTCAAACACCAGACCACAAGGGCTGATGAGACTCCCAAGATAAGTGAAGTGGTCTACACGCTCAACTACTTCACTCCCTATCATTAGTTCAGGTGTCGCTGCAACCCAATCCTGAAGTAACATTTTGCATTTCGAGGGAGAGAATCGCATCCCGAACATGCCTGCATTGTTGCTTATGGTGGTCAGAAGACTCTGCATTTTGTCAGTGTCTTCACCGAGTAAAACTATGTCGTCGGCGTATTCTAAGTCAACAAGTGAGCCTCCCGGTAAGAGTTCAACTCCTGGAGGCTTAGCTGATGAAAGTGCTGTCTCTAAAAGTATGTCAATGACAAAGTTAAACAAGAATGGGGAGAGTGGACAGCCCTGACGAACTCCACTTGTGGTAATCAGTTCTGATGACAGTTCGCCATAGGCTCTAACTCGACCAGTTGTGTTCGAGTAGAGAGCCTTTATGAGGTTAATGTACTTCTTTGGTACTCCTTTCAGTGACAAACATTGCCATAGAACCTCACGATCAACAGAGTCAAATGCCGCCTTAAGGTCAAGAAATACTACTATTGTGGGACGTCTGAATTTGTGTCTATGTTCTAGAACCTGACGTAGGGTGAATATCTGGTCTATGCAACCACGTCCAGGTCGAAAACCAGCCTGGTTTTCTCTAGTCTGCTCTTCACGAGCTTTGGTTAGGCGACCTAGTATTATTGAAGCTAATATTTTAGACACTATATTAGTCAAACTGATCCCTCTGTGATTGTCACAGGAGGACTTTTGTCCTTTCTTATAGACTGGCACAATCAGTGATTGGGACCAGTCAGATGGAATTACGTCCAGTTCCCAGATTCTACCTAAGACCTCAGTCAATCTCACTGCTAGTACTGGACCACCATCCTTAAAAATCTCAGGGGTCAACCTGTCAGGGCCTGCTGCTCTCCCTCGCTTCAGATTTCCTATAGCTTTTTCAACCTCACAGAGGGTTGGAGGACTTACGTCAATTTGCCATTCAGGACGACTGGGGATCGGCAACCGAACTCAGACTGTTATATAATGACAGTCTTAAATTGAAATTGTGGTGATAAAAGTAAGAAAAAACATCATATATTAGAATCTGGAGATAATTCACTAACTACAGAAATATAAAGTGAAATCTTGACCAATCCTTCTGCAAATATTAGTTCATAGTCACCGATTATTATTGCTTATGCAATTTTATACCAATTGAGTTTTGTTTCCGTTCTTTCCTTATCGATCTTCCAGTAAAATACATTCAACGTCCCACCACCGTCATATACTACTTGTGCGGAATTAAGTAGCCTACACCACACTATGAGCTGTTAGACTAAACGGCTGAATGAAAACTCGGAAGGATAGAAGCACACACTGTTGTGTTTTCGTCATTTTTGCCTACACTTTCACTGACTGCAGCCCGGATGAAGTAAAAGATGAATTTTACAGAAAGCTCTCTGAACTTCTTCATAAAGCTAAACGCTCAGACATAATACTCGTAGCAGGTGACTAATGCCCAAATAGGTATCTTGAACCAAACAGAAAGACATTTAGGTGGGTATTTTAGTATCCCAACTCGGCGAACAGATAATGGTGATCGTCTGCTGCAACTGTGTTCAGACAATGGTTTATTTTTAGCAAACACTAATTTTAAGCATAAGGAGAAACATCGTCTAACATGGCGACCCCTTGCACCAAGCCAACGATGGACTCAAATAGACTATATTGCCATCAGCCATCGTTGGAGAGGCTCAATGGAAGGCTGTCGCTCGTTCTGGAATACATATTTAGACTCTGGTCATGCTTTAATATGAGCACGCATTTGCTTGCGTCTCACTTGACGCAGAAAAACTACACTAAGAAGACCTATTAGAATTGAACTGAGGGATGAGAAAGACAAAAGTAAGTTCCAGGAACAACTGAGTTCACATCTAGGCGGTTCTGAAAACGCGGCTGACCCAGATGTTGCTTGGAAAGATATACGATCAGCTGTGGAAACAGCAGTAGCATCTATCAGTAATTTAAACCAAAGGGTCACGAAAAACCGATGGATTTCTTCTAAGTCTATTGCACTGATGGATTCTCGTAAACTCATTCCATCAGGCTCTGAACACGATAAAGAAAGAAAGCATATAAGATCTAGGTTAACCAAAAATCTAAGGAATGATCGTGAGCAGTGGTGGGCAACGTAAGTAAAAGAAATGGAAAGGGCAGCGGCTGTAGGTAACATCAGACAACTCTTCAGACTAATAAGAGAAGCCGGAATTAAGAAGTCAAGTGTAAGCGAAAGAATCTCGGAAAAGACGAAACTCTTATCTGCTCTCAGCCCACACGTTTAGAACGATGGGCGGAACACTCTAGAGAACACTTTAGCTACTCTACAGTTACCCACCATTCCCAGACAGTCTGAATGGAACATTGAAGTAGCGCCCCATCCCACTCTAATTGAAGTTCAAAAGGCTATAACTAATCTGAAACGAGGAAGAGCAGCTGGTCCAGATGGATTGGCTTCAGAGGTCTTTAAATATGGTGGTCCAACTTCAGCGATTACGTTGACTAATATTATAGCTAAAATCTGTGAGTTGAACGTAATCCCATCTCACTAGTCACAATCACTGACTGTCCCAATATATAAGGAGTGAAAATCATCCTGTGATAACCATAGAGGGATTAATTTGACCAATATAGTATCTAGAATATTAGCCTCAATAACTATCGTGCGCCTAACTAGACTCGCAAACTGCCAATACGAGAAAATCAGGCTGGCTTCAGGCCTGGTCGTGGCTGTATCGAACACTATCACCAGTTAAGTCAGAGCTTATGGAAAACTGTCATCTGATTTTACAACCTCAAGTGGTGTCCGACAAGGCTGTCTACTGTCTCCATTTTCGTTTAACTTCATCATAGACCTATTGCTGTAAATAATGCTATCGTCGACTGAATTTTGAGGAATTGATCTCCTTCCAGGAGGTCCACTTATCGACTTAGAATACGCAGACGACATAGTTCTATTTGGTCAAGACGTTGATAATATACAAGTCTTTTGGTAGCACTGAGTAATGCAAGGATGTTTGGTATGTGTTTCTTCCACTCTAGATGTAAATTGTTGCTCTAGGCCTGGTCTACGTCAACACCTGAACTAAGGATAGGGAGTGAAGTAGTCGAACGTGCCGACAACTTCACTTATTTCGTAAGTCTGATCAACCCCAATGGGTTGGTGTCTGACGAAATCTCAGCACAGATTCCAAAAGCTCGTTCGGCTTTTGCCAACTTACGTCACCGATGATGAAGAGATATCCGTCTATCAATTAGGGGACGAGTATACTGTGCAGTAGTTCGCTCTGTTCTACTTTACGGCTGCGAAACGCGGCCATTAAGAGTAGAAGATACTCGCAAGTTACTAGTATTTAACCACAGATGCCTAGAAATATTGCTCGCATCTGCTGGGAGCACTGGGTAGGTAATAGTGAGGTTAGATGCGGGGTTTTAGGGAATGATGATAAACCAGGTGATGCGGTTGTAAATCTACATTGATTGAGATTGTTAAGCCACATGTTACGTATTCCTGAACACCGATTACCACGATACGTGATGCTGACTAGTGTGGAGGATAGTTTGAAGAAAGTTAGTGTTGGCCAAACCAAAACGTGGCATCAGTCCTTGAAGTCACTAACTTCTAGTCTGGGCCATGTTGGTAGGTGCAGACTACTTGGTTGGGGTCCACGTGACTATCGTAACCAATGTTTGGGGACTCTGGGTGACATGGCTCAGAATCGGGCACAATGGCGTAGGTGTATACACTTTCTGTCTTTTCTTAAACCTTGAGATTAAAATTGCTTCATATCTGTCTTCTTTCCTATACTATATCCTTATATACAACCTTTCTTTTATATGTTACCACCAATAAATTAACTACTTTTATGAATCCGGTGTTCATCTTGTTGTGCTGATGAGGTATGGCAACTTCGACCGATGCATATTTGTGTCTGGTCCTACTTTGTAGCTGACTGACTGATTCATCATTTTTCTGTAAAACCCTTAAATGTAATGACCATCCTAATACTTCAAGGTTAGTAGACATGTTCGAAACCAAGTTATCCTAGGCAGTTGTTAAGAGCTTTAGTAATAAACACGACTAGAAGTTTGTACAATATCCAAATGGTTTTATGCTTAACTTCATTAATGCTAAATCAGGCTTTAAAAATATGAATGACAATCATAAACATAAAATACTGCTAATCTTTTCATTAAGTAACTAGGTCTAGGGCATATATATCCTTAGCCATTTTTTAACTCATCAAGTAGTCCATTTCAAACAGAACCGAACACATAGACAAGAGCAGAATAGCACCAAACTTAGAATAAGGATGACTGAGTCAGTTGAGAATAACTTTTCTTAGGCTTAAGGTGTTTATATTATTTCAACCAACTACGACCTGAACCAATTTTGTAAATTAATGAACTATCTTAAACCACTGAGGTAGTTTTTTGACAACTGAACTGCAAATCTGGTTATATTACGGATGCAATACAGACACAATTCAGGGTCTTATCGAAAATGATTGAACTTCTAATGCTAATTCATCGGACGATAGGTACTCGGTGTACAGATGGTTGGACCGTTAGATCGTGACACATGACCATTTTGTCGACCTTCGAAAGTCCATATGGATTGTAAGCAGCCTATTACGCAACCGTTTATGGTCTGATACAGAATATGGGAATTGATATACACTCACGCAGATTAATTTCTGTACCATAAATCCTATGGAAGTGAACATAAAATGTCCTATGATAAACCTGGAATACACTATATGAAACTAAGTGTTTAATTTTTATAGGACTGTTTTCGAATCAACTTGTCGTCACAGACTGATGTGCCATGATCTTCGCAAGAATGATTGCACATAATATTATGCAGTAGATTGTCTAAAATATTTAGGAACCGCGGGAAACTTGTGGATCGACATAAATATAAAGTCGCTTTATGAGGTTTACATTTTGAGTACTATCAACACATTCGATAGTACTGAAAATACCACGACTAACTTAATATAATGTACCTTTCTGTAGGCCGGAGGATTATACGAAGATGTCTTCCAAAAAGTAAAGTAACCGAAAGGCATTGCATACTAACGTGCACTTTGGTGAACACACTCTACATCCGGAATTAGAGAAACATGAATCGTTCTGATGAGTTTTCCAGTTGAAATTTTACCCTGGTCATTCACCAATTATAGAGCCTGTCTTATCAACGTTAATTGCCATTTAAAAAATACGTTTCCGAATTGAACTTACTAATCTCCTTAAGAGAATTCCACTCATCTTGCAAAAACGCACCATAATGCCCTCTTTTAGCAATTCCTTGGGGGCAACCGAGATTCAGGTCGACTGCATCGCAAAAGGGTTGCACCAACTTAGCACACCTAACGAACGTATCTGGAGAATTAGCACAAAACTTGAAAAGAAAATATTAATTTTTTTCGGACATGCGCACTTGAACAATAAGTGGTCGGTCTTCTGAGGCGAACTGCAAGCAACTGCGGCGGTATTTCATGTTAATGAGAAATGCAGTCGAGTTAATCATGGGTGTGAAAGTTAGCTGCACTCCATATTTACGACCGAGCATCCTCCAGGCAAGTTCACTCCCATCAACCATAGGTGCTAAAACGTATTTAGGTGAATTCCAGCTATCGAGGAGACTCATTAAAATTTAACGTCGGATACAAAGAACAAGCAAACAAGACAGTGAAACTTCTGGTCTTTGCAGAACGTGCTTTCTCTGGAGTTCCGCTGACGCAAAATTACGAAGAGAGTCGAAACAAAACTGCGACGACACGAGCGAAAATAACACAAACTGATTATCTAAAATAGGATGTTATTGAGTATGAACCCGTAAACCCTTTAAGCGTTAAACCGAGGTTATTACTATCTGCACGAAGCAGAACGACATTTTACAGCCAAATATGCACTTTCCACGAGCTCAGATCATGACACGTCCTAAAAGATTAGGTCGAAACTGCCTCCACGACCTTGCCAAAAATGTGCTTCAATGTTACCACTACTAGGTTTGCTCGAAAGGCATTTTTGTCACAGTTAGAGTAAGACTTCAAATCGTTGGGTACCAGCACTCCTAAGTCTTCTTCAACGTAAGATACTTTGAGAGACGAGTGTTCGAAGTTGTAACTATAGTCTGCAACATGTCTCAGATGGACTACATTACATTTTGAAGTGTTAAAGGTGAATCTGTTGTCGTCTCCCTGACTTCAAAGTCCAGTCAGATCCTTCTGAAGTGCCAGTATATTCTCTGTGTTGATCATCTCTCTCCAAAGTAACAAGTCTGACGATACCTGATGTGGAAGATCTTTTATATTGATCTGGGAGAGAAGAGGTCCTGGTACTGAGCCCTGGGGAACCCCGCTAGAATATTTCATAGCCTGAGAGAAATTGAAGTCAACCCCGACACTAAAATGTCGATTTTTAGATATGAAGTGATCTATCTTTCCTTTTTATTTTAAATATCAGATTTATTTCTGAGTAATTGACCATTGGAATCTGTTATTATACACACTTCGCTGTAGATAGTATTAGATTAAACGAGTTGCGTAATATCAGCTAATGCGTTTACATGCAACTCTAAGGACTGTTTATTTGCGTTGGTAAGAAAATGTAGTGCACTTGTGATCAAACCTTCAATTCCTGGAATGTTCCGTTCGGTATAAGTGAACAGTTTGGACGGCCGGTGCTCGATGAACTTTTCTTGTTTCGGGATGACTTCCAGAAGGCAGTTAATGGAGTATAGTGCATAAGATAAGCGTAGTTTTATTCCTTTGTAGACCAAGCGCACTCATTATATGCAAGTGGAGAGATATGATCTTGCGAACTTATGCTCAACACATAGGTAGGAAATAGGTTTCTTTAGTGATGTGCAAGTTCGGAATTCCTCATGACATTGATATAAATTATTAATGAAACATGTATTTTCACGTACTTCTAATGTGACCAAGAATATCCCCTATCTAAATATCCTACTACTGTTGGCTGACGGAGAAGAACCTATTTTGTTATATATATTCAGGGCTTGTGACATAATATACGATTAGGTTAGACCTCTCCGAAATTTGTGAAGAGCATATACAACAGTCACTCAGAGGTGTGATGCAACAACAAAGTGGTCAGTAAATACTAGCTCATAAATTGAAGAAGCATGGCCCATATCTCAAGGTAGTCTTAGCTTTATTATGTCCTCGTTTATACCATGCTTAATACCACATAGGCCTAGTAACTGACCACCATAAATAACCAACAAGGTCAAGAAACTTCTTAGATGTAGGAAAATGAATGAAGTATTTTTCTGTACATGCTCTGAACAGTACGGATCCACTGACTGCAAGACTAGGAATACTTACAAACAACTAAAGTGTATGATGTATCTATTTATTTTAAATGACAGGTCAGCTAACAAGATGTACTTGAGTGTATTCGCCTAGCAGCGAACAGTATTGTTTATTCTGCAGTAAAGTAAGAGAGATTCATATACATCTCTTCATCTGGACGTGTAATAAAAGATGAGAATAACAAACAATGGTTCGATCTTTCTTTTATACAGAACCCAACATTTAATTGACTATTTTCGACGACTAAAAAACTTCAAATGAATATTGTTTGGAAGAAAAGTTACGACGATAAAATGCACACTATGCAATCGTCTAAATCACGATTTGCGTCTCTAATGAACGCCTCAAAAGTTAATATCAATTGAACAGATAATTGGGATAAGATAGATGATCACCACCCTAATCTCTGTTTTTAAAACGAATGAGGCTGCTGTTGTTGTGTAGCATACCCAAAAGGTATCTACAGAAGAAGGATATGTAATACGACAACAATCTACCTCATAGCTGCACCAGTTTGAACTGAATAATAGACCACTAAGAATTAATATCCATTATTACGATAGATCATGTTTAAGAGTTGTTTAATGTCCAGACAAAATAACACAGTTAAACATCCAATAAGAAAGGTTGACCAAAAGTGTTTTTGTTGCTTTGATGTCTGACTAACCTGATAAGCTTTATGAAGGGAGATTTAAAAATCCTGGAGATTTAGCGAAAAAAAGCGAAATTGCCAAAGTAACTATGATAAAATGTTAATATTAGGCACACGATTCACAAAACTTTAGGCCGAATTTTCTCCATACCGCAGAAAAAGCCTCCTAAAACACCCATTAGGACGTGAGAGTAAAGTGATCAACTTTCAAATTTGGCTGTACTTTCTTTTCCACACCCTTGAACGCCCTGAACGACAGCGGGTATTACTCATTTGAAACGCTTGAGGTCGGTTGCGTCCATATATACTAGCTTGGTTCTCAATTGTTTTATATGCACGTAGTCTGTTGACGTCTAAAAATCACCGAAGTCGTTGCTAGCAAATATATTGTTCTTTTCCTTCTTTAGTTTTGGTCCCTGATAAGTAACAGTTTCTAAAAGACACTGGTTGGTTAATTTTGCTGGATAGTCTAGTAAAGCCAGGTTAGTAAATAATATGACTGAAAATAACCATACGCAGTACTTTAGATTGATGATCTATGTAGCTCATCGTTTTATTCTAAGTTGGAGAGATGACTTATAATCAGTGAGTTGGAGACTATTATTGTCCTTCATTAATGTCAGCAGTACCTTGTACACTACAGCCAATAAAGATGTTTCTTAATAATCATCTTTTTCTTTTGTTTTCTGCTAATGTGGTTGGGTTTGTTGTGCTTGTCTGAGAAATACATCATACAACTTGACGAATGTGACTGGTCGTATCATGCTGGGCAGACGGCTTATGAGTTAGGAGGAATTCGGAACAGCGTTGAGTGAATCCTATCAGGTAGGAAAAACATATTATCATGTATTTTAGACTACTCACATTTAAGTCAATGGTATCAGATAACTTCAGCAGCGATCGGCTGACTATTTACACAACGACACGGACGGAAAGGAGAGTCGGTGCTATCTGGATATTAGATCGTCAACAGATTTGGCGTTGTCACTTCCTCATCCTATGTACACTTACCTAGTCACACACTCAGTGCCGAAAATTGTCCTTGGGCATTTATAAGCCCGTTTTTCCCTATTTACTTAATCTGATATGTGATAAAAATACTTTGTGTAAACAATTTTTGTTTTATACGTCATCACAATTGAAGAAATGCAGAAAAGTCCACCGGTATTGCTTCCCGTTTGTAGATACGGGCGTTCCGTGTAAAGTAGGTCACTAAGCGAGAAATGTTAGTTGGTAGTAGTGTTAGTCCTAACTACACAATCCTCAAAGCTGAACTTGAGATAACTGGGAAAATGCCTATTCAACAATTAACACAAGGAGAAGGTTAACAATGGAGAACGCGGGAACACCGAATTCGATTCAATCAGATGGTATGGCTCAGCTTTGCAGTCGTGGTCATTCTTGTGTAAGTTATCTCTTTTATTCATGTTAAGTACATTGTTCTATCTCCAGCCTAAATGTGTTCTCCATCATATATTGGTGATTCCTACGATAGGACAGGTCACTGTAGATAGCGATGTGACTTTCACATAAGATCTTATAGATTAGGCAGTTACAAAACGACAAATCTACAACCTTAGGATTAAGTCTATTATTAGAGCAGTACTAATAACGAAGTAGACCATAATTCCACACTGGTAAGCCCGACTAAAGAAACATAGCTTTTTATTATCCCTCATTTTAACTTTAATTCTCTCGATCATAATTCTACAGGTTGATGGGTACTATGGTAAACTATAGTACACGTATCTAAGCACATAACTGACTTCATGATATTTGTAAAAACAAGTGACCGATAGCAACGGATACAGTTATACTTACCTATGGGATAAAGAAACGTACTTACAATAAGTATTACATTCACTTCACCTCCATTCTCATGTCGCTCCCCAATATATAAAGAAATTATCGACTATTTTTAATGGTCAACAGTGATTAATAGAGAGATCTGAGCTGTAGTTGAGGTTGATGTAGGGCAGCAGTTTCAAATGATGACATTTGCAGCGGTGGTCTATTTCAAAATTTCGTTTCCTTGTGTCAGTAGGTAGACATTCGTTCACATGTTGAGGCGACGAGCTTCACTGATTGATGATTTGATGAGAGAGTTGACAGATTGCTGACAAGTTACTTATTCTAGGCTTGCGAACTTCTTTGAAATTTCCTCCTACATTCTCTGTTTTGAGAGACAAGGTAAATGAGGGCATGTCAGAAGAAAATGGTGGATTATTTGAAAAAAACCTGCATTCAAGTGACCTCTGAATCATGTGCACGAATAACTAAGTCAATTCAATTATACCAGTCTCTAGTCATACGGCAGGTTTGCGACTTCGTAAATCCAAATAATTCCAGTTCCTTTAATGTTTTTCACTACCTTGCTCTAATTTAGGATGAAGGAGTGACGTATTCAAAGTTCAAAACGTTTCAGAATCGGAATCCCTTTACATCAAATATCTTAATGTTATTCACAACTTATGTTTATGTGATTTGGCCACAATTATAAAAAATAGTGCACTTTGAAGCATTTATTGGCCACTACAAAATTGTAGACTATTCACATTGTTTCCTCAGATCGTTTCGCAGTTTTAAACTACAGTTTCTTGCATGTTTGCTATCCAAAGTTTTTAATGTCACTCTTACCTATGGCTGCCATTTAAGAGTTAGCTCTGGGAAAATGATGAGATATTTTACTGACATGCTGCACTGCGGATGACAGCTTCCGAATCGCATACCTTACTTTACATAACATATTTGACTTCCTATGTAAAAAACTATTTAATTGCAGAAATTCTTCTTACAATTAATAATAATAACTTATTCTCAGATAACAGATTGTTACATGAGGCATGCCAGTTTACAGGCAATATCAAATTGTTAAAGAAGTTACAATTTTCACTGTTGAAAATTACTCAGCTGGGTTGATATTTCATAAGATATGAATGTAAATGGATTTCATAAGAAACATGTCAATATCAATATCACACTTGGCGCA